ACGAATTTTCAGCAACCTTGTGAGCAATGTATTGCGGATATACCTCTCTTGCGATATCTTGAATATCGTAATGATTTAAACATGAGGCAGCCTGGTGCAGCACATTCAGTTGCCTGGAAACATCACAATCGAGAGATTCACCTGGGTTCCAGGTGACTTACAAACATCCAAACTCGTTTAAAGATTTGCAGTAAGTGTGGTAATTCTGAGGAACTCAGTCGACTTCACCCTTTCACAGCGCTGCAAAAACATCATCACGTGGAAACTTGTTCCAAAACATTGGGAACTATTGCTGAGGGCCAGAATCGACTTCAATCAGTGTGTAACTTCGATGTGGACGTTACTGTTTGTTGATTGATTCACTTTGGACTGCAGGTTTGATGTCATGTATCTGAACAAACGTGAAGTAACCGGCCATCCGGTTGATTTGTAGGCTTCTGTTTATCCTGCCGTTTTATTTAGCATGAGGCGATCCAGTATGCCATTGAATAAATCAAGCATAAATCGCACGGTTTTGTGGAGCTGGGTAACTCGACGCGGCATCCACTGCTTCATGCTTCGTAGGATTGTACATTGGAACTCTACAAAGCGGCTTCAAATCCATGCACTAAACTAGACCCATACCTCGGTGAGAAGTTTTCATCCGCTTGCATTCGTTGATGGATACGAAAATGGCCGTCCTAGCGGCTTCAAATCCATGCACTAAACTAGATCCATACCTCGGTGAGAAGTTTTTATCCGCTTGCATTCGTTGGTGGATACGATGAACCTGGGTTTAGGGTGCTCGGCTATTTTGTGTCTTTTTAAGGTACGACCTTTCGGGTTGGGTGATAGATTGAGACATTCTCGCAAAACCTTCATTCATTTGTGCACATGAGCGCGTCAGTTGGTTTACTTCACATGTCGAAGTTTTCGAAGATTCGATACAAGTCTCACATACTTCTGTTTGCATCGCAAACACGGCAGGTTGCGGGGTGACCGCATAAGCTGACAGATGCCGGGTTTTCATTGGGGCGACAGACGAAACCAATCGCATCCCTCGACCGTGACTTCATAAGGTATGACAAATTGGTTGTGAAGTTATGCGCTGGTGGATTGGTGGCAATACGCTTGGATTGTCGGGGTTCAAATTACGCGGCAAACGGTCCTGCACTACCAGTGGTGAGGTTTGATTAAATAGAAGTAAAGTTGACTTATATTCCTTAAGCTGTGAGGCAGTTTTGTGAGGAAACCATCATTCAGGAGCGCAAAATGTTTTTACAGGCCGAGGGGCCTTAGGGCCGCTATGGAATAACCCGCATATTACCGGGTTTCCGACTGAGGGTAGAACCATTTATTATGCACACAATGAAGAGTATCAAAAGCTGGGTGAGGTGTCCGATCTGTGGAAGATGAGAACGCGTTTCGAATCGAAATGTGAGACACCCAGCAAATTAAACGTTGGCTAAAATCCTTCCGATGGTCAACATAAACGAGTGACTCTCAGGCGCATAGTTGCGCCCTTCTGACCGAGCGGCATGGACTCCCGTTAGTACACGAAAGTAAGAGAAAAGGCTCGCCGGGTTGTTCTATTCATCGTACAGAATAAATCATGTGAGTTTTTGGATCTCTCGTTTATGATACTCTTCAACTGAATGTGTTGCACAGAAACCGCCTGGTCTTTTAGTAGGCACGATATTCGAGATATTGCAGTATATTTTCATAGAGGAAAATACTCACAAGCTTGCTGAAAACTCTTCAACAGCCCACGACTGGTTTCGCCCTTCTTGGGGCTAATCAGGTAGGTGTAGTTCCCGAGTTTCCATCAACCTTATGTTCCACTTTAACCCAAACCTGACTGTCTTTTTAGGAATACTCATTTGCAAATCGATTTGGTTTTCACGAGAGAGTCAACTGAATCTCTCTTTTATGAGATCAGCTCCATGAAGGACAACTGGTCGTGGGCGGTTGAAGAGTTTTCAGCAACCGTGTGAGTAGTTGCCTCTAGGAAAAGCTGTGACCATTGGAATCCTCGGAATTACGCTAGACGCGTCCTGCGTCGTTTACATGCCTATTGCCTTCAAACTACTCGTTCTTTTTAGCACAGGTTGACTTCATTTCGTGTAGTAACGGCATTTTTCTCAGCTTACTTCTCGGTCTTTGCCTCCCAAGCTAGCGTTTACGACAAAAAACAACCACAAAAGGTACAGAAGGTATATGAACGCTCAAAACGAAGTCAGGAACACTTGTACAGCACTTCATACAAATAGTGTAGTCCGCAATAACTTTCTGGGAGTTCTGACGAGTTCTGGATACGCCATTGGCAACCGGCATTCGGCCAATACCGGGTCATGATTGGCTGTTTGGTCCAGACTTCCGACCAATCAGATCTCGGCTTGATGCCGGACCGGCAAGCGTCTCGAATGTTTGGCCTATCTTGCGTGGGATGGAGTCCTCGGCCGTAGCAGCACCTGACTGCGAGCGGTGAAGAGAGATCCGTGTGGAATTCTGCCTAATACAGCGAATGATTGCTCCTAACTCACTTGTGATTTCTAGGGTAAAATGTTTTAGTTGATTCACGATTCCATTGCTGGTTAACTGCGTGGAGATTGTGAGTAGGTTTCCCAAAGGTTCCTCTGTCCTTTTGCATTTCTGGAGGTAAGGTAGACGACCTAGGTTTTGTTCGCTTCTCTGAAACAATGTTTTACGTTGTTGAAAAACAAAACGGAGAACGGATTATTCCGGGTTCATTTGAAGATGTTGAGCAGGATCACGATCTCCGTGAGCAAGGTCATACTGGAATTCTAAACATTGATCCCAGGCACATCATTCTCCGGGTCGCTCAGGGCACCCTCTCGCTAGGTGATACGTTTGATTAGTGGTGTTATTCACCAAACATTATAAAAATCGTCCAGCTGTAACTCTCTTTCGGTACTCAAATGTCATGATCCAGAAGGGCGCACCAGTGCTGGGATTCTGCCAGATTGCCCAAGCCTAAACAGGGTAAGTTAAGAGGCAGAGGTCGGGTTCGAACCACAAACTTTCCGGGCAGTAAATTAGCGCTCTAACTACTGAACCATGTCGCCCGATCAGACACTTTAGTAGCAGACAAATACCAGATTCGTTGAAAGTAGAGCGATATTGCAAAAATGTATACAGGCTCACGTTCTGTAGGACAACATCCCAAGTATAGGGGATTGAAATAACTGGCTGAGATTTTTGGACACACAACTGTCCAGTGAATAAATTATACGTTGCCGCAATGGAGGGTTTTGGGTCTGGGTTGGCGGTAAATTATAACCGCATGATATAAGCCCGTGATCCTGGATTTTTGAGGACTCGTAACTTACGCAGATGGTTCAAAGGGAACCCCTACTAGTCCTTCAAGATAACGTAGAATAGCTATCAAACTCTGAAAAGCAGCATTTGTTTGGGGAACGCCATCGAGTGCCCCACATTGCGAACACAGGTGTTTGAATTCGATCAGCGTATTGTCCGATATTGACGAAATGAAGAATGCAACCGCATATACATCCAAATGGTTTGGCTTTTGGCTGCACGCTTAGCCTTGTTTTACATCTGGAATGACCAACCAAGCGCTGCAGTGATGACCCAGCAGACTGCTTACGTTGGTAATGTGTTGGAATATTGGTACCTTGGGTGTATTATTTGGTACTTGATCAAGTGGCTGTTGATCTGTTCGCCGAGCTTGGCAACTGATTTGCAAACGTTTCGTAATAATTCGACTAGAAATCTTCAGTACGCTGTTGGTTCGGTAGTTCCTCTCTTCGTGCCTGCGTGCCTCCACTGATGGAGCAATAAACAGGCTCATTGAGATTGATCCCGCCTACCAGCCTCTGAGGACAAAATAAATCCAGAACCACAGAACCCTAGGCCGAACAAGGACTCAAAGTAGAAATCAACAGAACAACAAGTTACCAAAAATAGGAGGCACGCTACAAACCAAAAGAGAAGCCGACCACGACGCAATACAGATCAGGAACGGGCCAACCGAAAGAGACAACAATGGACAGCAAGAAATACAAACCACAACTCAACACAGATTAAGATCGGACCAA